TGTCCGTTGGGTTTATATTAAGCCAACCGATAACAAAATTGGGCCGAATTCGTCGTTTTTGTGTGGAACAATCCCTTGCATACGAACATCTAATTACGCGAAGAACCTAGAACACTAAGCCGGGGTTTCACAACTTGTCTCTTATTTAGTTTTATGCGTCATTCAAAATGGCGGCCCCCATATAGTAAATATCGTATATATTTTATTATCACGGTGCGCCAGCTGACTGTGGGTACGGATTACCAAACCTTGCCTTTTTTGTATTCTAAACCCTTTCAAACTCAGATTAAATATTAATGAATCTCAGATAGAGTCTCTCAGCTGGAGTGTGTTGTCAAGTATAAGAACTATTTTAAGAGTTTTATAAACTCTAGGCACACAATCTAGACATTTCCATGTAATTATCCATAGACCTAATAGATAAATAGCAACCCAGTCTGCATGGACAAGTACCATACAAGATAAAGGTGTCGGGGTAATCAGAATGCTTACGGCAGAGCCGGCCTAGTACAACCTTTTTTTTTCAAGTAATAATACAATTATTTATTTGACTGAGCTGAGAAAATACCCTAAAACAAACTGATTGAAGAGGTGTTACCTACAATCCAATTACAAAATATTAATAGTTAAAATCGAAATTACAGGTACACTGACGAATATGAACACAAAACACGAACTTTAAAATTAATTTAACAAGGCGTCTTGCCACTGTAAGCAGACATGTTCCACATCGCTACAACCATTATGTCACAACTCCCTGTTCCAAAAAAAGAGTTTTTGAAATAGCATGTAGTGAATTTGCTTTACAATGACTAGATGGACATGCGACTCTGACGTCACAAACAACATGCAGAATAAGTCTGCAACCAAATAAAGCCTAGTATAATTGTGTTCAAAATGACCATTTCGCTTACAATCGCCCTCGGAGACAAAATTGTCTACTAACAGCGACGAACACCTAAGAAGATGTAATCAAGGTACATATTTTCGGGCGGACATCCGGGCATTTTCACCCCTGGCAGAAAACAGTACTTTGGGATGGATGGTTGTTGAGACTCCCTTGAACAGTGTTACACAGTGGCGGCGGCGGTCGCCCCGAAAAATGTTGGAGGGCGTCCCCCAAAATCAAGCTAAAACCTTTTATGTCAACAAAATTTGGCCCTTAAAATGCAGGAAATAGCGTTTCAGAATGTCTAGATTTTGAGCAGATCCCCGGAGCAAATCTCGAACCCGCAACTCAGACGTGTAAAGCAGTGTTCCATTATTTCTCAGAAAAAAACAAACACGTTGGTTGTCTAAGCTTATTTCGAGAATACTTTATATCACTTTTCGGCTTCACTGCCGTCAATTACATGTACGCTTCTCACACTGATTCAAATTCAATTAATTTAGTTCCCTGAAAACATCAGCACATTTTCTTTTTCAGGAATAGTCAGTCAGTCTATTCCATCACACTGGTTATTCCATCACACTGAGTCCGTCATAGCCAACTGTGATCGAATTACCAAAATCTGGGGTTATCAAAATGTTCAGACATTTTGGATCACAGACCTTTGATTTGATAAATAGCAGTTTTATTGTCGGCAACATTTTGTTGGCACCCTTAGCATGTGAAAATTAACACTTACGATAATCGCAAGGTACCCACATCAGAAGGTTCTATCATTAGTGAGAAATACCGAGCATTTTTGTAGATAGCGTTTACGGTATCTTAAGGTGTCACCAAATCACTGACGGGATGTGCCGGCGTTCAAAGATGGATCATATCATATCATTCGGTAAGTAGCATGTTCCATTATGATTAATATGAGATGCACGCCAGACTGTTGTCTCATTTCATGCATGAGAGAATTTGAACAGCAATGTATTATGGGATTTATTGTAGTTTCAGCTAAATGTTGCCGACTATACAACTGTATTAAAATAATCCACTTTCAGTGTACAGTGTACACAACATTCGACACTCGTATAACTTTATGTAAACAAATCATACATAACTATACACAGAGTACGTAACTGGGCCAATCATGATAGTTGTTCGTATAATCCACCTAATAACTCTTAGCTGCTCCCACCACTATTCCTAGTACAGTATCGTAATGCTGGTTGGTGTCCAACGATTGAAGTCATTTCCGTTAGCTCTGAAATACTATTTACTGATTTGTAGCTTAACAATTTCATCGCAAAAGAACATTTTTCTTGAATTGCTGACACGCTTAGAAATGATAATGGGTCATCTTGTTGGAGATCATCGCCGTTATGGGTGAAAGTTACACCGTGTGTACGCAGGTTTATGTTTAGAAATTCATTAATATGTTCCACCTGCTGGCTGGGGTGCATAATGACGTCTTCGTAACGTAACAGCAAATATCGACCTTCCAGCCAATCGGGGCAATTTTGTAAGAGCATTGCATTTTTATTTAGCAAATTACAGAAGTCGTCAACGTCTTTTTGTGAAATAGTACGTTCTCCTACCGTGCTCTCGTGTGTAATTTTTAATCGGAATGTAGCACGTGGATCGCGAACGAGGTGAATGATTTTCAGATTGACCATCGTTGCAAGTTTACTGATCTCCTGGAAGTTATTCAGTCGCGATGTTTCAATAACGCTGAAGCGCTTTCTGTCGCATATATCCGAAAGGACATCATCTAACGTCGTATAATTGTTTTTAACTTGTGATAGCTGGTCCTGTGTGAGCAAAAAAGAATACCTCGAGAGGGCGTGGTATATAAAACTGTTTTTATTCGAGTCAGGATTGTCAATCGGTAAATTTCTTGTTTGAACGAGCTTTGTAAAATTGCATGTATATATCGCTTCCATAATTTCGACAGCGCTCGGCGAAGACACGCCTTCTATAAATGATGACTCTGTAATGTACATACTATTAGAATCATTGTCCATAAGTTCCTTTATAAAGGACGGACTGGTGCCATCCATAACCACGACCAATAAATGGACGCTGTCACTTTGTCGACTTTTCCGCAGTTTGGAAATCTGGCCGGTGTCTGGAGTAGCGCCCTCTCGAGGTATAGGTTGCGAGTATCCTGCAAACAAGTTAAACAGATCATACAATATTATTGTTAGATACACGAAGAGTAGTCATCGTAAGAATACTAATCATCATAGTTGCTACTCTAACCACCGTGTCTGTCCCGCGAAAAAATTAGGAAATTAATTGCATATTTTCACAATGTTAATTTTTGAGCAAATGTATTCATTATACAATATTTCAATTATTCAAAAAAAAAATCTATTCACCAGCGAAATAATTTGTCATGGTGTTCAAATAAGAGATTGAATAAAGGTAGTTAGTGTGAAAAATGCTAAAAGAAAATCATATTCATCTTTTATTTTTCTCTTTCAATTATTACAAGCAGTGTCAATAACAGTAAATTAATCGGGGGAATTGCGCCTTGCGCAATGTGTTGTAAACTGAACAAACATCGCATCGCATTTGCTGCACCGGTAAACCGATATCGGGATATTTGAGGTACGCCTGACGCCATCCCTCTATTAATTGTGCCTTCCATTTTTGACATTACTAGTAGCTGCAAAGTGGGTGAGTGGTGTGTTGCAAAAGACGGAACGACGCTCCACGTTCGATAGCGGGAATCGAACCCTTGCTTAGTATTTAGGTTAGAATTCATCCCAGTTACTAGCACCCTCACCGGTGCCTTAGTGGACGAAGCAAGCTATTAACCGTCAAATCGAAACTAATAAAATTTGAAAATTCACCGATTTCCCACAAAATAAATAGCCACGATGTTTTCCGAGTTCGAACCTGCCGTTGTTTTGATCAAATAATTATAAGCATAATTATATTATATATATAAGTCATACCCAGAATTTCAGCGATAAATTGTATTCCCGTTCAATATAAGAATATTGACAATATGGGGTCAGCAGCAAACTTTTTGATTGTTGAATTTTAGTGAATTGTGGGCAATAATATACTTGTTCATACCATTGGTTCCAATATTATATCATATCTCAAATTAGAGGTTATCGTGACATGGGGTGAACAAACTATACATCGTGACTTATGGATAATCTGGGTTTAAAAAAAATGTGATTTTTTATTTAAATATTCCGTGGAACTGCTCGATCGTGGATTAGTTACATGATTGTATAATAACCAGTGTCACGTGATACTCCGTAAATACTGAAACCCAAAACGAGAGTTGTTCCACAATGACATTAACATATCTGGATACAGTCAACCGAATGATTAACAATAATCGTTTGGGTAGAGATGTAACCATCAATACTAGTATTCAGATGTGTTGTGAAACGAACCAATCAGAAAAGCCCCATGGCGACACATGTGAATATACTGTTAGCGTCTGCTGCGTTGCAATTAAAAAATATCAATGTAAACCAACAACCAGATGATAATTCAATACATTTATAATTCATATGAGAACATTGACAAATACGGAATAAATTAAATAAATAAACTCTCAAACAATTACTTTTTGTTAATTCGAAAATAACAACTTTTTACAAATTAATGCATGGTTGTTAAACATACCTTCTATTATGGCCATTAGACAGGTCATCAATGACAGTAGAGCAATTAACATAATAGTCAGGCTAACTGTTACAAACCGTGGCAGTACCATTCCGCGTGCATGTCCATCTGACACCAGTGAGCTCATATTTTATACGACAGTCGTGATAGATGTATGCATGTATGTATAATTTCTGTGTACTTAACAGCTGACACACAACGCCGCCACAGTTGTAGCTGCCGAGTCTTATGTTTGCTGATGAAGCACGTTGTTCAATAAGTCCGCTAGACTTTTGGGCGTCCACTCGCGCGATCGTTATACTTGATATCAATCTCCCAGGCAGAGTTCTATTTTTTACAAATATACTTTCGATGTTCTGGCCGCAAGGATCTCTGGGAAGGAGAATGATGCGGTATCATAGTAGGTGTTCTCTCGCGCGATCCTCTGTTATTCAGTATGGCACGCATTGAATTATTACAATTCGATTTTTTTCTGTTAAATAAAAAATATCAAGAAGATTTCAATGGACTGTGCGTGAGCTGCTGTGGAACAACGGTCGACGGGCCGGTGAAAACAACACAAGCTCAACTATGAGACAATCCCGAACAACCAAATTTATATATGTTGTAGAAGTAATCTTTTTTTTTCACCGGTTGTTTGTGCCAGGCGGTGAAAATGCCCGGATGTTCGTTCCCGAAATACAGGAGCCAATAATCAGAATCCAGCTATTGTTACGTTTGAAGGAGGATAGTCTTAGTCATAATATGAAAACAAAATCGAATATGTTACGTTTAATGTTTTTATATTCTGACTCTGGGAGGTAGACCGGTTTATTACTACCTAGTATTTTGCGTTCGTGTGAATCAGTCGGCGAGGGCGCATGTTCAGGCTGAGGTCTAGCTGGGGTACGTAATAAGTGATTCACACTTCCATTTGTTTGTTTGTTTTGTTATCTTTATTCCGTTCTTGTTATGCAACTGTAGTGACCTTTCTACTGATCTTCTGTGGAACAGTGTTGTGTCTAATACATAAAAGTACAATATCAAGTGATTTTATTTACAGTTTTTGGCAAAATTTAATACTGTTATTTCCACGGGTATGTATAGATTAACTCCGGGAGTTTTTATTTTAGCTCCATGACCCAATGAATAATCTATGGGTTACCTAAATATGCCACTTTAATATATGCGAAAACAGGTGCATGTTATTACTTATCTCACGAAATTTGTCGTGAAATAGCGCCATCATACGTGCAGCATGCAGTAAAGTTCAGCTGGGACATGTGACCTGTTATCTCATCTGTTATTGGTCCATGGTTTGTGAAGCGCGTCACTTCAAAAAACGAGAGGTTCGGAGCAGTGTGAATGTGTTTTCTTCTCTACGTATTCCTTTGAAACTTTCTTGTTTGATTATCATTTCTGATTTTATAAGGTATGTGATGTCCGATAAGTACCATTTGGCATAATGTAGGGTAATTCTCGTCCGATAGAACAGCAAATTTTAAAGTCTCCTGTTTTGTTGTTTTATTTTTCAACATGGCGGCGGAGCTGGCGTTGCTTGGAACTTCCGCATTCGATTGGCGATTCCGTTCGAAAACGATATTACTTGTGAATATAGTGGTAACACGCATTGCTGCTCATAGAGTATACTGACAAAAACAGGAAATCGGAATTGTTACTAAGCGCCATTTTGGTAAGGTTGTGTCACGAATTCAACATGACAGTGAATTGAATTTGAAGCTGACTGGGTGGAAATGTCTGAATTCTTTGGTTAATAATATTGTGCAGACCATTGTAGAGAGACTGTGGTTGCTGTAAATTTTTCGGTTAATAATATTGTACTACAGTCCATTGTAGAGAGACTGGTTGCTGTAAATTCTTCGGTTGATATGATAAAATTGTACAGTCCCTTGTACAGAGACTGGTTGCTGTAAATTCTTCGGTTAATAATACCGGTATTGTATAGTCCCTTGTACAGAGACTTGTTGCTGTAAATTCTTCGGTTAATAATACTGGTATTGTACAGTCCCTTGTACAGAGACTGGTTGCTGTAAATACTTCGGTTAATAATACTGGTATTGTAACAGTCCCTTGTACAGAGACTGGTTGCTGTAAATTCTTCGGTTAATAATACCAGTATTGTACAGTCCCTTGTACAGAGACTGGTTGCTGCAAGTTTTTTGATTTGATAGCAAATTTTAATTCACCGACGTATACTGAATATGTTCTAATCGTTTTTATTCGTCGTTTCAGTATTAAGTCCAAGTAGATGCAATATTGTATTTAGAATATGGCATCGTCATTGGTTCATGCTTTCATTGACAAGGAGAATACTGCAACGATAACTACTGGCAAGGGTCGTCTGGGCTCAACCTCTGGCAGACAAAGTAAGATTATTTTTATTTGATAGCCTCATGAGATTTACAAATATACAGACTACAGAACGAAGGCTATATTTACTTTTCTTTACTGAGCAGCTTTGTTATAAGTCTAATCAAGACTTCAATAATTTTTAGAAACTTTTGTGACTTATATTGCTAATGCCTTGTGATTGGGCAAGTTAGCAGTCTACTCACTAAGTCCAAAGAGCCACTAAAATAGAAAATGTTCGAAAAGGTCATTCATTTAAGCCACACCCATCCTTTTTCTGTAAGGCGCTCGGTCAGTACAATTTTAGCAGTATTATTTTGATCTAAGTTTATCTAACACTAATACATTTATTGCTGTTTTTAGTTTTAGGAAAAACATTCAGCAGCAATAATTCTACACTTGACACGCCAAGAAAAGCACTGGGACATGTTAATAACACTCCTTTGAGAACTGCACTTGGTAATGTCACAAACACTGCAAAGAAAATACATCAAGGCAGTTTACTGAAAAAAATTCCATTACAAAGTAGAACTCCTGCGCCACAGAAAAAAGGCCCAAGAATACCATCAACACCTTCATTACAAGTAAGCTTTTATTTTTTTTATTAATGACTATACTTACAACACAAAATGATCTTTGCTAAAAAATACAGCAAAGTAAGTCACAGAAGTATTGGCTGCTCCGGGCAGCCAATTTGCAAACTCGCTAGCTAATTGGTTAACTGCTGGTGTTTTGACTAAACAGTTGGCTTTCAAATTTCACTGGCGCAGACAGTGGTCGCGAGACTATATTGTGTTAGGGGACATAAAATGCTTTTACATGTCTGGATTCCCCAGAATGATTTACTTTGTTACGCGAGGCATGATAATGTATAGATAGTTTTTCTGTTCAGCCTGAGAATGGCCACAGTCAGCTGGCGTACAAGTGATAATATGATAAATGCGATTAACCCACAGATATTTACTATATGGGTGTAACCATCTTGAACATTGCTTGAAACTAAATAGAAAAGTTGAGAAACATTTTCCTACAAATCAGAAAACGACAAACTTTCACATCCAAACGATCCGTTGGGGTAACATTAAGCCAACCACTAACAAAGCGAAATAGATATCCAACTGTAAGAACGTCATTGCTGATTAGAATCATATTAGGAATCAATCATCAATATTTGATTAGCACATTAATTAATGAGACATCTGACATTTTGGCATGTTCATAAATAACAGTGCCAATCTGCAGCTGCAGAATTGCAGGACTAAAGTGACTGATGACCAATTTTAATTATATTTTGACTCACTCAGTTTTCCAGAAAGAAGTGTGTAAAAGCCTCAGTACAAAAAGTGGAAACACGGCCATTTGTGGAGGACTATTCAGAAATAGAATACATGCCAGATTACAAACAAAAAGGTGAAGTGTGCATTTGAATTTTTACTTTTCTTTTCAGACAGTCTGAGAACGTGGGCTTGTAATTTGACTTTTTTGCATCCATCTGTATCTCTTGCATGCCTGGACCATTCTTGCTCAGAAATGCATCACACAGGTTGGATATGTGTGTAATTGTTTTTATGGCAAATATTTCAATTCTCATAATTAAAAAATCCAGCCTTCTGCCATACTTGAACTACTTAAAATGATTAATTTTCACTGGGTTTAAATTTCGCTGATTTAGCATTTCAGGCATTTCAGTGGGTTTTAAATTCACGGTTTATCATTTAGATAATGTGTTCTTTGCTAAATTTACATATTCACTGGGTTTTAATTCAGCGCATTTTTCAGTCAGCAAAATTAAAACCCAGTGAATAATTAACCCTTGTACAGTAGATCTCAGTCGTGTATGAGTGGATTATTTTCAAACTTGATACATACATTGGACATTATATAACCTTGATGGGTGGCATTTTGAATTTTGTTACAGAGCCATGTCTGACTTGCTTTGATCGATCATGTTCCAACTTTACACATGCTTCGTACATCAATTAAAAATATTCAAATGGCGTCCACTTGCCTGTCCCTGTAGGCAAGTGAATAAAGATATAACATTTTTGACTAAATGACTGAATATGGTTAGCCAAAGCTGTGTCCAGAATATTGCTTTCAGAGTTTCTAAGACTGATAAAATGAGCCAAGAATGAGGATTTGATTTTGAATAATAGTTTTTTTTTTTAGATCTGATTCAAATCGAGCATTTCTGTTATTCTTTATGGCTATCAAATCAACCTTTACACTCAAGTTATAAATCATAAAGTTCAGATTCAAAATGGCAGACTGTTTTGTTACTGGTTTCAGTATTCGACGACGGAGGCTGTCTTGTCGGCGACGGAGGCTGTCTTGTCGGCGGCGGCGAGACGGTCATGTTGATGACTGGTCACATTTGTACTATTGCATGACTTTGTTGAATTCAGTGTAGATTTGGAATGTTTTTTAAATGTGATTTGAATTTAATATTCTTAATAACAGACGACTTCAAGATCAATGTTTGGGAAAGTGAATTTCCAAAGATATTCAGTAAATCTTGCAAGTGGCTGCCAAGTCGAGAATTATTTACAGCCAGAAAACATTCCGAACCAGATTTTTCCGGACTGGAAATAGAACATATGCCACCAAAAGAAGGTAGGAGTTTTGAAATTGAAGCACAGGGCTTCAACTTTGTAGTTGAAAGGCAATCTGATTAAAATCTGATGTAGTGTACGGGCTTTAATTATTTTGGCTATAAACTTATTTTAATTTTATTTTTTATTACTTTTATTATTAATATCCTTTTATTTTATTATTTTACTTTGATTTTGATTTTTTTTAATTCCGCCCTACATACATCTGATCCGACGCCTACGTAAGTTCCGTTCAAATCTCGCGTAAGTAACAGCCAATCACAGGCCCCCTTTTATATAGGCTGTCGGTTGCTTACTTTTCAGTGTAGCGATACTCCACGGGCAATCTTTCTGTACATTATATTTTGCCTACTTGAATAAACCATTAATAGAAAATTGCTAGTATATTTTTATTTACAAAAGAAATTCCACAGCATTTTACAATTTTTGTCATTACATTGAATATTTTGTCCACTTCCAACAAATGTGT